CCCCAAAACCCCAAAACCCCAAAACCCCAAAACCCCAGTTGTCAAATTATTTATTGAAGCATGGAAGCACAAAGCAAGCCACTGATTTGCATCACAGGGATCAACGGATATTTAGGCTCATGGGTCTGTAAATATGGTATGTTGTCTCACCTAGCACGCTAGTGGAGGCTTCTCTCTTAATATTGGGATTAATTTATTGCATATAGCCCTTCAAGACGGTCAATATCGAGTTCGAGGAACAGTCAGAAATGTTAAAGACACTGAGAGATTGCAACCTATCAAAGAAGAATTTGGAGATCTTTGGGACCAATTAGAACTTGTCCAAGCTGATCTCCTTGACACTGAATCCTTAAGACAAGCAATTAAGGAATGCTCCTATGTAATCCATGTTGCCTGCCCAGTTCCTCTGCATCAGCCTGATGACGAAGATGAAGTTATCAAACCTTCTGTGGAGGGCACAAAGGATATTTTTATGGCTTGCCAAGATGAAGGTGTTAAAAGACTAATCATCACTTCCTCCATCAGCATTAATGAAGACTTTAGATATCCTACTTGTGACGAAGAGACTCCTTACCCACTTGATCAGCCATGGATAAATGCTTACAGAAAAGCTAAAATATTCGCTGATGAGCTAGTTTGGGACATGGTTAATGATGAGAATAATAAACTTGAAGTTGTTTCTCTTTTACCAGGACTCATCATTGGCCCGATCTTCATCAAGTCGAACTTCACTTCTAAAGAGGTTATACAGATGATACTGACAGGGAAATATCCTCTCTGGCCTAATCTACATATTAGCTGTGTTGATGTCAGAGACTGCGCGGAAGCTCACATGAGAGCTCTTACTTGCAAGAAGAACATCAAGTAGCATCAAAATTTAATTTTTAGAATTTGCTTAGCAAATGGAACAAAAAGCATCCTTGAGATGGTCGAAATCATTAGGTAAGCCTCCTGCTAAGCTCTATAGAGGCGAATTCTCTCAGTACGGATATTGGTAATCAGATTGATATGACTCATTTAGGATCTCAAATTGGGGTTTGAACTATTGGATAGCATACCTTGCAAGTTTCTTCAGTTCAGATATGGCGTTAGCCCTTCAACTCTGGGGTAAAATTGGAACTTTACAATATAGGACGTAGGACAGAAATCGACAACACCAGAGCAATCAAAGAGTTAGGCCTAAAATTCACCCCTATTGATCAGACAATAATCACCACTGCTTACTCCTTAATCAAGCAAGGATACGTAATAGATAGAACAAATGGAAACGCAGATGACCATATCTCCTCTCTAAACTAGCCCAATAACAACTTCAACACCACATGCCCTAACTGGGGTTTTGGGGTTTTGGGGTTTTGGGGTTTTGGGGTTTTGGGGTTTTGGGGTTTTGGGGTTTTGGGG